ATCTGTGTGAGTCAGTCTATGTGAGTCAGTCCGTTTATCAGACTTCCGCTGCATATATGCTCATCCTACATTGGTTGATCTTTGGTTCTGCCCATACTCATTCAAGTATGTCACTCTCTCTCTCTCTCTCTCTCTCTCTCTCTCTCTCTCTCTCTCTCTCTCTCTCGTGTGCACGTGTGCGCACCCGGTTGCGCGCGTACCTGCGAACCCAATCAATTACCTGCTCACTCCCTCGTTTTGGCCCGCTGCCCGCTCCCGCCGCAGACCACCAAAGATGCCGCTACTCTCTCTTTCTMTGTCTCTCTCTCTCTCTCCCTCTCTCTCSCTCTCTCCCAGCCCCCAGCTCCCCCGCCGCTACACGCCCCRGAGATGTACCGGGGGTTTGTAACTCCCGGTACAATGACAAGCGAAGCACTGAAAAAGACGTATTCGTTTTTGWTTTTTTTCTTCTTCKTTTCTTTCGCCAGTCAGGCCGATTGCGCTGACAACAAAATTACGCTCCGAAGAAAAATATGGCATCTATAATCTGAGAATACGACTAGTGACCCCAGCTTTTGTAAAAAGAATTAAACGGATGAAATGATTTGCGGGATTATTTGTGTGGACCAAAAAAAAAAAATTTGTCTCGGGAAGAAGAAAGTCGAAGCACAAAGAGAAAGGGGAAAAAATGAAGAACAGTCCTTGGTTGTTTTAGTGACGGGTTAGGAAAAAAAGAATTTTTTTTTCATTGTTTTGTAATTCTACCTTTCTGTCCGTCGTTTTTTTTTTTTGTGTTCTTCCTCTGAATTTTTAATTTCTCTTTTTCCTTTGAATTTGTTATTTCTCTTTTTCTTCTGAATTTGTTCCTCGCCTTTCGAAAATGAAATAGATTCGTGGTTGACATCTAAATGTGGAAAGAAATATGTACATTATATGACGAGGAAACCAGGGCGCTGTCAAGGTTTTCAGTTGTGAATGCGTTTCCGTCACGGTTTCGCCAATTTTACTGCAAAGCAAGGAAAATCGTGAATGTGTCCAGCTTAGCTTTAGGGTTGGATGGGGATGATTTGTATTCTATGGATGCCTGAAGCGGATTTGCAACTGAGAACGTGAGAGCACCGTAGTTACCCCTTATATGACTTTATATCTTTCGTTCTCCGAGAAAACAGACACCCTGTATGGCCGGCACAACCGCACAGATGCAGCAATCGGCGAACATTCGACACCACAAAACATGCAGACAATGAAAAGGTAATTAAAACATTGAAAATTCCTCATTTTCGATTTCATATGTGGTTTTCGGAGTAGTGGGATATATGTACATGTACATGTTATCCATTT